TTCTTCTTGGGCAATGGAGCATCAAGAGCTAACACTTCATTGAGATCAACTTGGCTTATATTGTTGGTAGTATTTTCGTGCTTAGAAGACGAAGAAGAAGGATGGTCGTTCTTCTTGTTTTTCCAAGTGTTATTATTGCTACTACCAGCAGTCTTTATTAGCTCATCCTCGATATTGATGCCGATGTCATATACAGCTTTAGAAGTGTTCAAAGGAAGAAATTTGAGATGTTCCCTATACTTGTGAGTCAGATTTTGAATAAAGAGGCAAACCATCTCTCTTTCTTTGGGAGGATCTACCAAGAGTGAAGCCGTTTCCCTCCACCTGTTCAGATAAGCGGTGAAGCCTTCATTCTCTTTCTGTTTCAGAATGGAGAGTTCACGTTCAGAAGTTTTAGTTTGAATGTAACGATTCATGAAACCGTCGGTGATATCTTGCCAAGTCGTAGTACGCTTGGCATCTAGGGAATAAAACCATTGTTGGCAAGCATGCTCTAAGGAGAGAGGGAACATCGTAGGAAAGAGTGTTACGTCCAATCCCTTAAGAGCCATAGTTGCAGAGACCGCCTTCAATTGGAATATTGGATTGTCAGTAGGCTTGAACTTTGGAATATCAGTAGTGGAGAACTTTTCAGGGAGTCTGTCCTTCACATCCAAAGGAGTGGGAGGCCGTTCCACATAGGTGAAATCCTCAGAATTCTTGCTCATTTGTTCTTTGATCTTGTCCATTGTAGCCACAGTAACGTTGTTTTGCTCTACTGTGTTGACTCTGGTAGTGAGTGCTTGTAACATGTTAGACATTGTCTCAATGGACTTGTTAATGTTCTCAATATCTTCCTTAGTGTCCATACTGAAAGTAGTTTGAAGGTGATGAGTGACGTGGAGATGGCAAAGTTCTCTTTAAACGCCTCTTAGGTCTAAGAGGTTGATGTAGTAATGACTCGAACCATACCAATCTACCCCTGCTCCTTGACCAAGTGCTGTGAAATAAAACAACCGCACTTAATTGTTTGACACATTGCTCAAGATAGGAAAAAAAAAGTCATTTGAAAATAGGTGAGAATAACTCCGATCCACTCATATTTTTTTATGACGGAAATGGAGGTGCATGAACCTAGTATACGATCATAAATGACATGGTGTATGACTCGAGTAAAAAAAAATAAAGAAAGTGTGTGGACTATACTTGACTCGTGAGTGATTAAGTGATGTTATAAGACTCGTGGTATGATCGTATGGCTAGACATGTGAACAGTAACAAAAGTGACTGACGCGAGGACCAAATAAACACAGAAGACTAAAAAAAAGCTGACTGGACTTATTTCCTAGGCACCGTGACACGACAAACTGTACCGTGTCACGGTACAAGCTGCCATGACGCGGTGATTTTTTTTTTTTTTACTTTGCGCTAATTACAAAGTGAGTACGGTCCATTGGCAATCGTTAGTCATAAAATAATCCACCATAGACAAAGAAAAATCGTTAAGGTTAGGATCAAAATGACCAAACATAAAACACGTAGGCACAATGATGCAAAGAATAGTTCGCAACCTAACGTCAAGTTCTATGTTCGACTATGGTCAGGTTTATTTGGTGTCAATAGGGTACCATGGTTAAGAGTTTGGACGCGTTAGCAAGGTAGCCTCCCTTGAGGGTGTATGCCAACGGGCGGCTCCGCGAATTCGCGATGAAATCGAACTCAACTCCATGATTTGGGTGGATTTAATAACTCGGATGAACCCTTATTGCCACGAGCGTTTTTGGGTTGATAGAGCTTAAATCCCCCGGGGCTAAGACGCATGTAGAACACACAAGTTTTTCAGAAAAATCGAAGGAAGTTGACTGTGAGAAGAGAAAACAAGCCACCAGACTGATTTTAGGACAGCCGTGACACAGCAGAGAGCACCGTGACACGGCAGTCGGAAAATCTGACTGGTACCCTGTTTTCCTTCGTACGCAATCAAGTTATTCAATTTTTCCTACGGGACAGACCTAAATGCGACGTTAAAACGTCTATGCTTATGCAACAATGCCAAATTAATCACAGGAATATTTTTCAAGAATCTTCAAGTCTCATCCACTCATCTTAATTATATACCGATCACTCAAATCGATAAATAACCAAGAATCGTCCCCAGTGGAGTCGCCAAATTGTAGGCGTCGTTCGAAGTGCGCCTACGTTAAAGCATGTGTGAATATTCTTGGCACTCATAGGAAGTGGGAAGTGACATAATACGATTAGGGACAAGGAAAGTAGGGAGCCGCCAACAAGTTTTTTAAGGAACTTGTAAACCGTTCACGGATCATTTAAGGCAACCACGAATAAGGGACAACGAAGGCAACAACGATTGACCCGTGAAGGTTACACCCCATTCATAATCCATGAGATTACTAACTCCATATGATTCGGAACCACGAAAGGAGGATCAGGGATGATGGTACGAAGTGAGTCATGGAGTCACATTCGCCCGTATTGGGCTCTACTCGATTCTTATAGTGAAAATTGATTCCTGCGATCTCAAAGGCATGCAAATAAAATATTCAATTTGCTCCAAACTATTATTAGGCTAAATTGGTTGAATATTAATGCAACATATAATTCTAAAATATTAGTGATCACTTTAATTAATAACAAGATGAAAAAGGAACCTAAACCGGTCGTCCAAATTATCTTATTAGGCGTGATTTTCAATTACATATTCCCTTTAAACATGCAATATAGTGATCATAATAACAATAGAATAAACATTAATATTGGAAGCAATTTAACAATAATAGCGTTAGTCAAATCAAATATAAAATAACCCTAATCATGATACTAGCAATATTAAAATAAAATAAGAGTAATTAAATTAATTAATTACTCACATTCCGCACGTTCCTTTAAATTGCTACATCTTGAATAAACTGTTAGTAACTTCAATAAAAATATATAAAGTAAATGAAAATTAAATTAAATTAAATAAAAAGTAGAGTTGATTTGGTCCAAACCCTCAGTTATTTGTACCTTTCACGCCTTGGTTTAAGGACGGAACCTTGGGTTAAGTATGGACTCCTTGGAGCGCTTAGGGGAATTATTATGGAAGAATAAGGAGGCTAGAAATTAGGTTAAAGAGGGAGAGGAGAATGATTTTTGGTGTAAGGTGAGAGAGAATGATTATAGGTTCCCCCGCCAAAAGTCCAAGCTGTGATAGGTTATAAAAAGCTCTTAACAGGCCGTTCTATTAATCTATTTCTCCTTTCCTTTTAATTTGCTTATTGCCCTCCTATTGTAGCCTTGTTACTTATTCTTCCTTGCTTTCAATGGCAGTGGGTGAAGATGAAGGTTTGCAATTGCCACCCTAGGAAATGTGCATATGTTCGTATTTCAGACTTAAGAAAATATAGTATATTCATGTAATTGGGTGCAAAGAAGAAATATAGGACCAAGCCATTAGACTGAAATTTCCCAATCACCACAATTTCGATCGTTCGACATAAACCCCAAAGTACCACAAATCTGCCACCTCCAATCTCCTACCCATTGAAATCAACCTTTGTAGTTCAGGATTGATCCGTAATGGAAGGCGGAAGATGAAATGCGAGTGAAAGAGAGAGAATAAAATTTGATTTACCATTTATCGAAGAAAACTACAGTGAAAGAGAAGAAATTTTCAACACTTTGCAGGGGTAGTTCAAAGAGCAGAATAGTTACGTACTTATGTTTGGTGGGTGGGTATTAAATGCGTTCTTGTAAACAAATACATTTTATGTTAACCATGGTCAGACTATTAGGCTTATTATCCTTTTTTTTTTTTTACCTCAATAACCTTATTTAAGAGAATACATACTAGTACATGGTTACAGCCCTTACAGGAGATAACAAGTTTTTTTTTTTTTTTTTTTTTTTTTAAGTCTACCAAAGAGAAATGGAAAATGTAAATGGTCACCAAAGAGAATTTCCCTATTTTAAATTCTTGTAACTAGTAACTTATTTGTCTAATTGAAGTAGGATCTTGCAAATTTTTGGTATATTTAGTACTAGGTTTCATTATCTACTTTTAGTTTTTTTTTTTTTTTTTTTAAGCTATGTTCTCTTTTTTGCAATTATTTTTGGTACATATAGTTAGTTTTCCTTCAAGTTTATTCTAATTTTATCTTTGACAATGTTATGGGTTTCTTGCTTCTTTTTTTTAAAAAAATTATTATTTAATTTTTTTAAAAAAATTTCTCTCTCTTTTTTTTTTTTTTTTTTTTTTTTATTTTCATCACTTGGGATTGCACGGAGTTTTAGAATAATAATATAATATTGTGAGTATGTGAATAAATTATTATAGTAAAATTAAGATGGGGACTGTGAAAGAGAAAGAAAGTGAGAGATGATAGATATTTTATTATTTAAGTGGGGACTATGGAAGAGAGAGAAATGATGAAATAATTTGAATGGAGTTTAAAGTAAGAGAAATAAATGACAAAAATATAGTATAAAGTTACCAAATATAAAAGTGATGCATTTAAAAAAAAACAACCATAAAAGGGAAGTAATGCAAATAAAAAAAAAGGAGGGAGTATTTTTTATGTTTAATAAGAAATTAATGTTCTTATGATAATATCATAGTCCTTTGTAACATTGTTATTTCCAACTTAAATTTTTCCCATTTATTCTTGTTAATACATAGAATTCTGCAATTTCACCTCAGGTTTACTTAATTACTATAAAGTTCTATCTCTCCCTTTATTTATGCTTTAGTAAATTTTAAGAATTTTCTGTAAAGTCTAGAGTTTATTGTAGAGTATAGGACCTTAGTCATACATATAAATCAATTGGTCTAGTATCTTTTGGTATCTTTATTCTTGTAAAACCATATGGATGTTAACCGGTAATTTAGGATAGTAAAAATATGTATATGTGCATAAAATATTGTTGTTCCTAAATTATTATTATATGCTAAAATGACTTGTTTTATGAAACAAATGAAAAAAAAGAAAAAGAAACAAAGGAAATGTCATTGTTGTGTATGTAATTGTGAATTGTGATCTACACACGTTGAAGGAATGGAGTTCGGAATTATTCCCTTTTGGCCTTTTTTTTAGTTGAGCTACAAAGTCATTACTTACTGTATTACTTGTTCAATATATGCAGGTGCTGAGATAAAAAGTGGAGGCTCCCTGAAGGTGAACCCTTGGTAGAGGCAAGATGTTGCATCTATCGCAGATGAAATAGGAGATTTTTGTCTTTCTCAACTTCACTGTATGTTTGTCTGACATCAATTTTTGTAATATTTCATTGCTTGATCCTTTTGGTAGGTCTGTATTGGGGAGATCAAGAAGGACAAAGGAAATGATTATATTCGCCTTTATGTTCATAAGAATGGTCAAAAGTTTATTGCTGGAATGCTTTCCCTTGAAAGGATTCCTCAAGTAACTCTTGATCTAATATTTGAAGATGAGTTTGACCTGTCTCATGATTTGAAACAAGGAAGTGTACACATTATTGGATATAGAGTTGATGATTCTAAATCATATCCTTTATAGCTTCCAAGATCATATTCAATTTTGATTTTCTTCCTTATTTTGGCTTCAATTTTTCTTTTGATTATTCATAGTGGTATATCCTGTTGCAATAATCATAGTGTGCTTTCTTGTATCCTCCTTGACCTTGTCTGTCATTTACATCCACTGATGAGGATGTATCTGGTAAGAATTTCACCTTCAGTATGAGTTTCCATACCTTCTGTCTCATATTTTAATATTCAGAGGATGATCTTGAGGAGCTTGTGCCAATTGAAGCCTTGAACAATGGTAATATGTATTGAGTCCTCCTATTTAAAATGTTATAACCTACTCTATGTGAAAAACTGCTTATACTTAGAAAATTTTGCTGACTTAGGAAAGCCCGAAGCAAATGATTTAAAGCCTTCAAGGTCCAAACCCAATGCAGGTTTGAAATTTGAAAAGGCAGAAGGTACGTCAAAGGTGAAGATTGTGGAGCCTAGCAAAGATGCCAAAAAGAATGTGGAGGATGACAAACTGAGGATGATGAAAATGACGATGAGGATGATGAATCATTTGAGGATGAGGGTGAAGCAGATGAGGTAATTTGCTTTTTATATTTAATTACTTGGAGGCTATGTTAACTTCAGAAACCTAAGTGCTTGGTTTTTGATTTTATTGGGTCAATGTGCCTGAAGAACAATGTATTATTATCATATACTTTCTTATTGAGTACTTTTATTGTTTTATGACTATTCATCCCACTTGATATTATGATAGTGCTTGCATATTAAGGTATTTTGTTTATTTGATTATTGTAAGGCCAATTGCTGTATTGCTAGATCTTCCCAATGTCCTTCTTATGTTTATTGGTTAGATTTGGTTCGCTCTAATGTGTTCCATGTAATGCTTTGCTAAAGTGATAAGTGAACTTCAGCTTTGTTTCTTGGGATATTGTATACTGTTTAATATTTCCCTGTATGTCTTTGCCAATGCCATCCTCTGCTTCTAGATTTTGGAGACATGTGTTAGGATTTCTACCTTCAACAAACCACAATAGCGAAGATTTGATTTGTAAATTTGAAATGTATTCATGTTGCGGTATGGCTGAGTTATAAAAGTAAAGTGTATTGTTGAGTCACACTACTACAAAATTGGCCAAAGAGACCCGTCCAAATTGGCCAAAGAGACTGCCTTAGAGGCGGAAAAAAATGAGACCGCCTAACTAAGATAGGCATTCTCATTTTATAAAAAAATTAGACCGCCTATTTAAAATAGGTAGTCTCATTTTTCAGAAAAAATGAGATCGCTTATTTAACTAAACAGGTCTCATTGGCCTCATTTTAAAAAAAAATTATTTTAATTCTAAAATATAACTTACTGTATTTTTATTTTTAAGATTATCGAATACGTACGGAATACAAATAATTATTAAATTTCATATATACCTCAAAATTACAAACTTAATACAAATATCAATGAAATCCAACACTAAAAAAACACTGTAAATGTTAACTTCAACTCTTCAAGCTTCAAAGATTTTCAATTATAAATTTCTTCACTTCAAACTTGTAGATCTTTACCTGAAACCACAAATACAAAGACATAAAAAAAAGTTACAAAAACATAAATTAACCTCCTGAACAATAAATCAAAACAATTTTGTTAAAATGCTATAACAATTAAACAAGGAAAAAAACTGTAAATCACTCTAAACCCTAAATCTCTTATAACTAATATAATGAAAAACTTATAACTAATGAAATAAGAGATCTAAAGTAAAATTTTGTTAAAATGATGACTAAACATAAAATCAAAGCAAAGAATCTCCACATGATACTCACAAGTGACAACCTTAATTCAAAAAACCCCAAGACTAAATAAAATTTTAAAAAAGAAATATTTAAAGAAAAATTAAAGATAAGACTAAAAACTTACAGAAATCCCATTATCAACTAATGAAGCAAAATCTAGCAGCAAAATGTAAAAATATATCAAAATAAAAATTGAATTAAAAGACGAAAAATTGAGGAAAAAAAGGAAGATGTTAGTAAAATTTTATAAATCTTGAAATTGGCATGAAAAATTCAAGAAGAAATAACAAAATCAAGAACAAAATTCATAAAAAAAAAAAAAAAAGAAATAGAAGAGGAACCAGCCTTCTCCGTGCCTTGCATGCTCGATCTAGTCGGTTTAACGAAAGAAATAACAAAATCAAACCAAATCAACTAAATCGAATTTCCGAACAAAACCACAACGAAGCAAATTGATTATTTTCAAACAAAAGAAATCTGAATCGAAGAGATTGAGTTTTCGAACCAAAATCAAACTGAATCGAACAAATACAAAGAAATCGAGAATAATAAAATGAGATTGGAGATAAGATCATCCACAAAAAAACCCCTAAAAATCTTGTGGATGTGCTATGTGCTTACAGGAATTATTGCCTTAAAGAAGAAAGAATGGAGGAAAGAGAGGATGGAGAAGAAGGGGGAGAAAAGATGGAGGCGCGGAAATGAACTGAGGAAAGTTGAAGCAATTAGGGTTTTATTTTTTTAATTTTTGTAAATAAGGGGCGGAGACCTGTTAAGTGGTATAACAGGTCTCTCCGATTTTTTTTAAAAAAAAATTTTCCTTAAAAAAAAGAGAGACCTGTTTTCTTATACCATGGGTCTCTAACTATTCTTTTTTTAAAAAAAATAAATTTAAAAAAACGCAAGAGACCGGTTATCTTAGATAATAGGTCTTTCAAATATTTTTACTATCACATTTTTGAAGTTTAAGACCGGTTATCAATAAGAAACCGTCTCTTGGATCAAAGAGACCCGTTATGTAGATAACAAGTCTTTTATATAACAATAAATATAATCAAGAAACATAATAATAATCATAATCCAAATAATTATAATCATAACTATCATTATAATTATAATAACAATCATAATTAAAATAATCATGTTAAAGCATAGCAAGATCCTTGGCATGATATATACTAACAAGATTAATAACAAACCCTATCATGTCACTAAACATCAAAGATCAAAGTTTTAACCCTAACATGATACTAACATGATATTAGGAAAGACAATAAAAGGCATCATAGAAATCATAATTGACATTATTTGATATTAGAAATTGTAGTTGTTACCCTAAACATGATACTATGGAACAATAAAACATCCTAACATGACACTAGGAATCATCATAACAATCTAAACATGATTTCTATATCATCAATAAATCAATTAAAGCACTTACTTGGATGCTCCGTACCTCTTTCTAATAACAAAATACATGCGTTAGTAACTTCAAGAAAAATATAAAATAAACAATTAAATTAAATAATTGAAAGAGAGATTTGGGACCAAACCCTCAGAAATTAAAACCTTTCACGTCTAGGGCGAAGGCAACTTCGAACTTGGCTAGGTGTTTCTAGATCTTGTGAATGCGGAATTTTGTATGCAAAAGGCTAGTTTAGAAAAGAGAGAGAGTAATCAAGAGATTCTTGATGAGAATTGGTGATGGAAAACGGAGTTTTTAGGAGGCTCTTTATAGAGGAAATCAGCCAGATATAATAAAAAAACGAATTAGAGTTTCGAAAAGAATAAAACATGACGTTGTCGCCAAATGCCAGACCTGTCGCCAGGTAACAGAGCTGTCGTATGGCGCTGGAAATAATTTTCCACACCTTTTCTTATTTTGATAAAATTTAACCGTAAGAGAGGGCAAAATCATATTTTCCTTAAAAACACTTCTTTTATTCTGATTAAAACTCTTAAAAGTCAACTAAAGTCAATTTATCAATGCTAATTAAATTAGGATTCAAAAGAACCTTCTAAAAGAATCTAGAAGACTATAATCAATTCTAATTGCATTAGGAACGATAAATCAATATTAGGCCCTCCTCTAGATCATTAGGCCGCATATAAATATCAAACCGGGCCTAGTTTAGTAATTTGTCCATAACTTCCTCATTATTCATCGGAATTGGGCTTATAATATATCGTTGGAAATCTTTTTTCGAACCCGACCCAACTACATCATTATTGGACCCTTGCCATGGACCAAACCAAACTAGATTGACTGTTTTCTCAAAATAGGTTTTCAAAAATAGAGAAAGAAAAGAAATAAAAACTAACCGCAACACTAGACTTTCCACACTTTCACCTCATTCGATTATGATTCGACGCGAAAGGCACTCATTACTGGGTTTGGTTTTGGGAAGACACAAATGGGTGTCTACAGGTATGTTCCGCGATTTCCCTATCTATTCCAGGCATGTCCTTGTATGACCAAGTGAACACGTCTTCGAATTCTTTGAGCGTCGATATGAGGATCGATCGCTACTCTGGATTTAAAGTTAAGTCGATTTTGACTTACCTTTTGTTCTCATTAGTTCCTATATTAATTGTTTCAGTTTATTCAATTATAGGGTTCTTTTGTTCTTGTTCGTTCATTAATTCAACCAATTTGTAATATTATCATCTTCATTAGATTGATTGTTATAGCATTCAAAAGATTCAAGAGAAGGCATATACTTGGAAATAGAGCTCATATTATTGAATTGAAAATAAAGTACATCAAAATAAGTATCCTTTTTGGGATCTTCGTCCTTATAACTAGAAAATGAAGACTCGGTAATGGCCACAAGGCTCAAACTTTCAGCTTCCTTAAAGTCTAAACTAAACTCATCGTCAATTTCCTTAAACATCTTCCCTTTGCCTGTGATGATTACCAGCTTATCACCTTTATGGTTAGTCCATTTGAAAGACTTCCTTCATCCATGCTCGAAGGTTTCATTAAAAGAGGTGATAAATGAGGTTGGGTCAAAAGCTTCATCTTGGATGGAGTTCTGATTAGTCATTGTAGCAACATGGTTTTGCTCTAGTCCAAATAGCAAGTTGAATGCTTTCCCATCATAGCACCTTGGAGTTGGGTGTTTTGATTGAACGATGTCAAAATCATCATTCAAGAAGTAGAAATCGTGGAATATTTCGAATTCAAGCTTCTTGACACCTTCTAGAAGTAAAGGTTCTGGAAAGTCATAACATGGGTAATCTTCTCCCTCCCTAATGAATTGTCCATTAAGGGTTTGATTGTAAGATAGGAGTAAAGTGATTATCCCTTTCTTATTGTTGTCTCTACGTGCTTTGATTTTAGCATCGTGAGACTCTAGTTATTCTTTAGTTGGTTTATATCCCAATCCAAAAGAGAAGCTGTAGACACCTAAAAATGTCTCCCCAAAACCAAACCCGATGATAAATAACCTTTCACCGCCACTATTGGTCGGGTTTAGTATTTAATCCCGAGAGTACGTAAAAAATCGTATTTTATTAAAATCATACTTTTGAACAGTCCATTGGTTTAGTCTTGATGTTTGGTAAAAGCATAGTTTTAATTTCAGCCCAACTTATTTTAAACCCAAACCTTTTTTTATTTTATTATTTTTGGCCCAAACCTCTTTATTTATATTTATTTAATTATTTTCTTATTTTAGCCCGAATAATAAAAGCCAGAAAAAGCCCGAAATTATCAATCGGCACTTAAAAAGCCGAAAGAAATTAGGGTTAAAAATGAATTTAGACGGAAAAATGGACTGGAAGTTCCCGCGCCACGGCAGACTGCCACCGTGTCACGGGAATCCTCCCCGTCTGACGGTGGGACTTCCCGTGACACGGGAGGTCTGCCGTGACACGGGACGTTCCGTGTCCTTTCCGCGTAAACCCTTAACGCGTTTTTCATCCCGTTTTCTGAAAATTTCCCGTGTCACTGATCCAAAACTATACCGTGTCACGGGAAAGTGTACCGTCTGACGGTACAGTCTGACCGTGTCACGGGATACTTTTTTAGGGTTTTATCATTTTAGGGTTCCGTGTGCTCCCTCAGCACATTTTCCCTATAAATACCCCCTCATTTCTGATGAACGGGGCACCGAGTAATTCTCTAATTTTATTTTCTCTCTTCTATGCTTTAGCCTAAACACTAGCCTACCCTTTTCACTTCAAAATTCCTTCTTCAAGCACTCAAAGGAGTCCATATTTTACTCGAGGTTCTGTCCTTAAACCATGGCGTGAAAGGTAGAACTGTTTGAGGGTTTGCCCCAAAATCAACTTTATTTTATTTAATTTAATTTAGTTATTGTTTATTTATTTCCTTGAAGCTACTAATTCGTTTATTATTTTGTAGTTGCAAACAAACAGAATCGAAGTAAGGATCATGCTCCTTTTATTTCTATTATTTTTCTAACGATTTTATGTTGTTGGAATTGTGATTAATTTGGTTTTAATATTAATGTTGTTCTATTATATTTTTTTATTGATCACCATATTGCATGTTTAAAGGGAATATGTAATTGAAAACCACGCCTAATAAGATAATTTGGACAACCGGTTTAGGTTCCTTTTTAATCTTGTTGTAATTGAAGTGATCACGATATTTTAGAATTATGTGTTGCATTAATATTCAACCAGTTTAGAATAATATTAGTTTGGAGTAAATTGAATCTTTGTTTGCATGCCTTTGAGATCGCAAGAATCATTTTTCACTATAAGAATCGAGTAGAGGCCAATACGGGCGAATGTGACTCCATGACTCACTTCGTACCATCATCCCCGATCCTCCTTTCGTGGTTCCGAACCATATGGAGTTAGTAATCTCATGGATTATGAATGGGGTGTAACCTTCACGGGTCAATCGTTGTTGCCTTTGTTGTCCCTTATTCGTGGTTGCCTTTTTATGATCCGTGGACGGTTTACAAGTTCCTTACAAACTTGTTGGCGACTCCCTACTTTCCTTTTCCCTAATCGTATATGTCAATTCCCACTTCCTATGAGTGCCAAGCATACTCACCTATGCTTTTAACGTAGGCGCACTTCAAACGACGCCTACAGAAGCATTTCTTTGGGATAGGAAGTAAAAGAGATTTCTAAATTCCTATTCCCAAAGGCATCCCAGGAAAGTAACAACTCTTAAATAAGATATTGTTTACTATTGGGGTGGAATATGGATCAAGCTTGAATGGTTTTTCAAGGCTTTCCTCTATTTCTAGTGCACAAATTGCCTCCGCGGCGAATCCCCACATGTCCTCTTCATCATTATCATGGTTTATTTCTAGAAGTGATTGATCATTTATTGCTATTTTGAGAGGAGAAGCATGTATAGTCATAGGAAGACCTTGATAGTTCAACCTAATCATTTGATGAAGCGAGGATGGTATTTCACCAAGCTTATGTACCTAAGAACGTCCAAGAAGAAGGTTGAACGTAGGTTTAATGTCCATGACATGAAATTCAACCATCTTTTGTATTGGGCCTGTGGTAAATGGTAGCCTAACAGTTCCACGCACCGATCTCCTCGAGTTGTCATAGGCCCTAATGTTTTGGTTATTGATTGGAATTCTTTTTCTGGATTAAGGCCTAAGTGTTTCACAGTTTGTAATGGGCACATATTTACAGCTGACCTATTGTCCACTAAAGTAAGTGATTGTGTATCCCTTACACCCCAAAGTTAAGTATAGTACGTTATTGTGGGTAGTGTCTTTTGAAGGCAAATCA